ATAACAAAATTGAAAAAAGTGAAGGGGGTCTGAATACTTTCCGAATGCACTGTATATATTTCTCATTTTGATAATAGGGTTGCCTCTGATTGGGAGAGCACTATAAAATCCAAAATCATTAAAATACCTTGCAAATAGGTAATGAGACTATCTTGGGAATTCATAGAAGATAAATCAATGTATTTTTAAATGAATTATACAAGAAAATTCTGTTTCTTAGCTGTTCCACTAATTGGCTGACTTAGGAGAAGTCAGTACTTTTTTTAAGGCTTAAAATATCTCTTCACTTGAAATGTCACAACATTCAACTTTATATTTTTAACTTGACCATAAACTGGCATTGCATCAGAAGGCGTCTGGTTGTTTTCTTAATATAGCTCAGGTTCTCAGATGGATACATAATAAAACTGGTTGCTTAATCCTTATATGCATATGGTCTTCATAGTTATGGTACATCCCTGAGCTCAAGATAGGCAAAAAAGTTGAGATTTGATGGTGAACAGAACAGTACAGAGTTTGGTTTCCATTGACTGACTAATGAGACTTCAATATCCTACTAACTGAATTTAGTTTTTAATGGCCTCTTGACCACTTTCACAGATAAAATTTTATCTGTGCATGATGTTGAAGCTTCAGATATGCAGGTTCTCTCCAAGGTGCTTGATACTAAGAATATGGAGCCATAACCATCAAGGATCCTATAAAAATCTATCTCAGTGCTAATCCATGGTGAATAGAACCTAGACTTCAACTTTGTAAAAGACAATGGAGAACAGCCCTTTCCACTCTCAAAATCAGTTGCAACTTAATTGTAAAAATTTACCCGTTTGTTTTTTAATATTCATGGTATTCCTGGTTTAAGGTTATGGATAAGTGCAGAAGCCTTTTACAAAACACAGTGTGACATTTTAAAATTCAGTTATTATAAGTAAATGTGGAAGTGGTCCTTTTTTCTCAATCCTGTTTGGGAAGGACAGAGCCTAAGCAGAATCAGGCACACCAGGTCTGTAGGCTGGACTGGAAAGTCAACACTTTCTTGAAGGAGGCCATATTTCTGCCAAGAAAACTACATGGACGTGTCCATGAAATCAGCAGGAGTTGAGCTCAACTTGAACAACACTTTTCACGGTATATGAAAAAGCTCCTCAGTTCAGTCTCTGATACCCTCAAATTAGGGTTGTGAGAAATTCCTGTTTGAAACTCAGCAGAGCTGTTGCACATCAGCATAAACTGCAGAAATAAATGACCTAATAGCCTAACTGGATAAGGCAATTTCCTATGTAGAATTTCAATTCCTTCATCTGGTTCTATGATATCCAGTAGCTCTTATGCTTGGTTCACAAGCAGCCTAATGACTCTGCAGGCTTTGAAGGCTCCAGGGTCAGTTGAGCAGCAAGTCAAAGATAGTGCTTTTTTTCTATTTTTTCCTTTAAGTCACTTGTTCATGTTTTCATACCTTTGGAAGCATGTTTTGTCAATCAGACATTTCACCTGCAAGCCTGTGCATCTAAAGAAAATGCAAATGCAGTGTATTGGTTAATTATGGACTACAATTGCAGAGATCAAAGCTCATGGTTTCCACAGCTGAATAATCCCTCTCTCTCAACTCAGCTTCATCCCGTAGAGGGTGATAGGTACTTCATCTTGAGCTGCTGAAGGAAAGGAGGGGATACATCTAATGAGATAAGCAATATTCAAAAGTATCCACTTCCCAGTTCATTTTCTATTTTAGAAGGTTAATTTACAGTCCAGTTTTCTACAAAAGTAAAGGTATCTCACAATAAAAGTGGAAGTAGTATTAACGTTTTTAATGTTTTACGCTGAATTATTAGCTGAAATAAATGTTTAATAGCGGGTGCAGTTTATTTTGTGCATGACCATTTGTCCTTTCAAATGCAGACTGCTGCCTTGACTGGTACTTCTCGTGAAAAGGTGAGATTCAAAGATGGCACAACCCAGCCGTCCTGCCACTTGCACACTCATTAAGTTTGTCAACGGCTCCCCTTTACTTTACGGTGGAAACGCCAGAGGCGATTCCCTAGCAGCTCCCTCCGGATTTGCTCCCAGGCACGCCCTCCTGTTCTCCACCAGCACAGACCCTGGATCGCCAGATGCGCCTGCAAGCGCGGTCCTTTTGATCAGGGAAAAGGATGGCTGAGAGAATGAACAGCTCCCACGTTCAGCTGAAAGCTTTCGGTCTGCCGCGATCATCAGCCGAGCGGATTCCGGCTCTAGAGCCACCCCAAAACCCACAGCCCGCGAGCGGGACGGAAGAAGGGAAAAGCCCCTCTCTTTTCAGTTCCCCATCGGGCTGGCTCTGCCAAAGGCCGCCTCCCGGTCTCGCAGCCAGTTCCCTCCTGAAGTTTCAAAGGGCGCCACGTGATTTCCATGGAGTAGAACTGAACAGATCCACGGCGCCGGGCAGGGCGTCAAGAGCGGCTCCTGGTTTTCCCGGCCGCCGGGCGCTCGCTAG